AACAACAGCTGTTCAAGGTATTCAAGGTAAGGTATAGCTAAAATCAAAATCCCTGCAGTATTCAATTTTTGTGAGAGACTGAGACACCTGGAAGTAGTCCCTGAGAAAGCATACTAATAGCAAATTACTTTTACAGCACCAATCAGCTGCTCTTTTTTGAAGGCTGTTTGAACTAACCCCCTACCATTTTGCCATTTTTTTCTGATTTTCAAGCGTCCTAAATCGTAGTTTGTATTAACTATACAAAATTATTTCTATGCAATTTTCTACTTTGTTTTACAATGCACCGCATCTTTTTTACCATAAGAAATTTTTCAGTTAAAATTTTCTCCTGTGAAAACTGAATTTCGCAGGTGAAAAGAAAAATTACCCGATTGGTAACGTCTGTTTGCTTCGATTGCTCTTCCAACTCATCGTAAATAACAGACTCGCCCAATAAATTGGCACTTTTGTCTTCGGTTGCGTCCTGAAACTCATCAAAGTCGCTGTTTTGTAATCACCACCGCAGTAAATCTGCTAAGAAATTTTGTCAGTTAACGCACTTTGTTTGTGAAGGTACTCGAAAAACTGCGCAAGGCGCCGATTTCAGCACTGGATGAGAAAAACTATTAGCAGCAATCATTCATAAAACAAATACTGCAGATTTCTTATTACTGGAAATGACTTTTATAGGGAAGGCACTAATTGCGACAATGGAAAAATCAGACCAAGAAATGACGGATTTTGATTATGCATTTAAATCTTTGGATTCAGCGATACCTATAGGCTGACCGCATTTTCAAGGCAATAATCAGGCAAGGTATTCGCGGAAAATAGATTGTGCAGTAGTTTCTAAGAAAGCTAGATGTGAATATTTGTCACAATTTTAGGGCATAGACCCGAATTTCTCACAAAAAGTCAGTTGAAAATCACGAAATAACAGATTCTTTAGCTTCTTCACACATTTCTGAAGATGAAAGCAATCAACCTCACTGAGCTTCTCCAGCGATTTTTGCTTACTCCGCTTCTCCAGCGATTGTTGTTGTACGTTATTGTTCGCAAGCCTCTGGACATAAGCAGAGATTGTAGCTTTTCTCAGCAGAACGGCTCGTCGGAGTGGAATCATGAACAGCAGCGAAACTTCATCTGAGCATCATTCGGAATCCAAAACAGACTACTGCTGCGATGTTATTATCCAAGATGAAGTAGCGAAATCTGCACCGATAGATATTATCCTGCAAGAAGGCTAATTATGTAAAAACGACTAACCCAAAGTATTCGAAGTACCATGAGTCCCGACGCATTCATTTTTGGAATTTTTTATCTCATCTCTTCCTTCAAAAATCTTCCGCTTTTACGCACAATTTCAACAGTTCCAGATGTAATAATTTTTATGACTAAAAAAAAAACATAGAGGAGGCCTTCCGTGAATATTTGTCATGATTTTCAAACACGCTTGCAAGGCGGATGGGTTTCAGTGTATTAACATCAACTTGGATGGGGAACATCCGTAAAAGATTTCAGCGCTCTAGCTTCTCAGATCACCGAGCTATGAACTTATCCGAAAAAATTGTTCAACACCCTAGTAAAATACTTAAACAAAGTGCGGGACATAGTCCTTGGCGCATCATCGCCTCTGGGCCCTGGCATCATCCAAAACTTCACTGAACCTCGTGTTATTACTACGAGGTGAAAGGTAATCCAAACTGTTTAATTACTTCAAACTTGTACAGTTTGTCTTCAAAGATGAAGTGAGAGAGGCTGAAGTTCATTTGAAACAAAACCCGACATTGAGCAAAATTTGGGACCCAAAAAGAGTGTTTTCAAATTTCTCTGCTATATGAAAATCCCAGGCTGTCAGACACATTAGCATTTCAGTTTTTATGCGTTTTTGCTGTGCAGCGTTATAGCAACGCTATAGCGCTGCTACAGCCAGCAAAGACGTATACTGTCGAGAGGCTGTGTGTGTGTATGTTCAGAAGCGAGTGCATTTTGTCACCTCATTTCATCTCAGTAACCAGGAGAGCTGGGAGACTGGAATTTTGGGTTCCAACCTCGTATATTATCCCTCCGTTTCAAGATTTTCCCCCAAACGCGCTTATACCCCGCGTACGGACCCTCAAAAAAATATGTTGACGGGAAACGATTTCGCGAACAAGGCAGAAAGCTGAAACTTTGCAGGGATATTATCTATGCACGCGCGAGCTAAAGATTTTAAACTCAACTGTTGCGCATTCCAGCCACAGCCTCAAGCAGCTCCTCAACCCAAAAATCGTTAAGAAATCCACCGTAAATCCACCGTACACGCACCCCAATCGTATATGTAAATGAACATTAGTTAATTTGCATACATGGATTTTTTGACAAACGACTGCTCGAGCAA